ATAAAAAGAGAAAATCTCTTAAATAAATATTATATTTGGACTTTATTTTAATGTGATAGTGATTATAATATGTTTGTAATTATATAGGAGTCATTTATATATAAAAAATTTGGGACTGTAGATCAATGTGATTAAAGAAAAGGTGTGAGGTGACTATATAGAAGGACGACTGTATTAGATAATGAAAATAAAGAAGAGGAAGAAGAAGAAGAAGAAATAATAAAAGAAAAATATTGATAGACTTTAAAAAGACTTTAGAATTTATAAAAACTTGGTAAAATATATTTTAATATACATATATTAATTAATAAACCTTAAAACTTCAGCTCTCATCTAAGTTTCACTAGAGCAAAGATCATCAGATTATTTTTAACAAATGTAAAGAAAAGAATGAATGATATATTAATACAAAAAAACTGTATAATAATAAATTAGATTTTAAAAAAAATTGCATCTTTTTTATTACTTTAAAATCGATAAACATTAAATATTATACAATATAAAAAAATCAACATTTGATTTTATCAACAGGTGATATAACGAATGTCCATTATACTGAATAGGAGAATCCTTGATTTATATCAATCCTCAAAAAGCTTGCGATCTTGATTGAAATCTCACTTTGCAGAAACTGTATTATCAACCTAAAGGCTATTATCAGACTGCTGAAAAAATGTGAGATACTTGTAAAAAGGTTAGATATAAATTTTCTTTAGTTGAGATTAAAAAATGGTTAAATAAGCAAGCTTTATATTAGATTCACAAGCTTCGACTTAAATATATTCTACAAGCAAGTTTTAATAATATTACCATATCTATGAAAATTATTCAAGCTGATTTATGTTATATGTCTTATGACCAAATTAAAAATAAAATTTAAATTTGCAATTAATTGTGTAAATATTGCCATTCGTATTAAATAAACATATTCTTTAATTAAACATAATTCTGCTAGTATAACTAAAGGATTTAAAAAACTTTTATCTCTCAAATATACCTAATTATCTAGTCTAAAGTTAAAGTTTTAATGATAAATAAAGGCAGTGAATTTTAATGTAATGTTATCAAACTAATGAATGAAATTCAATTAGCTAATTCTAAAGAATCTATAAGTATTATTGAGAAATATAATTATATATTATAAGAGTAGAAATTCTTTATTTAAGATAATGTTGAAATAAATTACCTTCTACTAAACGTTATAGAATGTAGGTAAAAAACCTTTCAATTTTTTTTATAAAACTTGATAATTCTGTGACTTAACTTTTAGATATTTTATCTGCTAAAGCTTAAAAAGAACATGTTTTTGCTAAAGTATCTAAGCCATGAAATGGACCTATTGGATTTAATAAGTCTAAACTTTCCTTTGATATTGTTAATGTGTAATTCTTGCAAATTACAACTGTTAGACAGGGTGTCAGAGTGTTATTTCATTTTAATTGCACAGTAATTCCAATGTTTTACAGGTGTACTTTTTATAATTAAATTCAAGTAGAAAGGTTTATAGAAAGATTTCATGATTGGCAATTCAAAAGGTGTTGAGTAATTATATTTTTAAGTAAGATGTTTATTAATAAAAAAGAAAATAGAAATAAAGAAAATAAAAGATATGACAAGAGAAAAGAAAAGAAAATAAAGAAATGAAGTATTAAACTAAAATATAATACTATAGGCCTATTTGCCTCTTAAAAACTACTGAAAAACTGATTTGTCAAATCCTACTTTTTACATGGTCTAAAAGCTATCTATTTATATAAAATACAGTATATAGAAAGATATAACTAATATGTCTAATATATCATATATGTCAAATATGTCTAATATGTCATATATGTCGAATTTGTCTAATATATCCTATTTGTCGATCATGTCAGATATATCATATATGTCAGACATGTCAGAAATGTCAGATTTGTTAGATTTTTCAGATTTGTCAATCATCTGTATCACGTAAATCCCATCATATTTTATTCGTTCACACTACAATAATTAAACAAGATATTAACAACGCTTCGAACCTAACTATCAGTTGTTTCATCAACAATTATTGATACTGTTTTATTTCAAAAAACTTCTTTTAAATCATCAATATGTTGTTGATAAATTTCTGGTAAGTAATTTCACCTCAATGCATTAGCTTGTGGAATTGCATCACCTTCGCGATAATGTTTTTTAAGAAAAGGTTAGAGTGCATTTATTTTTTCTAAAGGAATATTTGCTTTAACAAATGCTTTTACAAGATCCTGAACTACCACCTTTTTAAATTCTGCTACAGATAAAACTTCGTCTAAAGTTTGAGGATAGGTATTTTATGCAACTGTTTCATAGTTTCTTTTATTTTTGATATGAACTTCACTTTTAACATGTGAAGAAACACTAACTTTGTATTCCCAACTAACAGAATGTTCACAAAAAAGACATACGAGAGAATTATTAAAGATGTCAAAAGTATTTGAAAAATCTTTTTAGCGAGTATATGGAATAACTCGTTTGGCTTTGGCTGACATCTTTGCAATGAATGTATTTACATTAAAAAATTAGTTAGATAAAATCTAATCAATATCCAATCATATTTTTGTATCTTGCGATTTTGAACCAATAATATTCTTTAAATTAAAATAGGCATAAATTTTGAAAATTTTTGATTTAACCAAAATCTTTCAAATTCTTTTAAAAAATTTCTTTCCAAAATTTTACAGATTCTTGTCTTGGCTTCGTAACAATATTATAAGTAAAAAAATATTTCTGAAGCTACGAACGCGTTTTTTTACTAGGTTTCTTAGTAAAAAGGCATTTTCAAAATCGTGAAGACGCTTTTTACTATGGTTTTCTTAGTAAAAAAGGCATTTCCGAAGCCATGAAAGCACTTTTTACTATAGTTTTCTTAGTAAAAAAGGCATTTCTGAAGTCACGAAGGTGCTTTTTTCTATAGTTTTTTTAGTAAAAAAGACATTTATGAAGCTGCAGAGACGCTTTTTATCTTTACTATTGATTCAAATCAAATCAAATATTTGAATACTTTTTTTGAATTTGATCGAATTGAATCAAACATTAATTTGGATTTGATCAAATAAATCATTCTTTGATTTGAATTTGATCG